TGAGTATAAATCTTTCATAACTTTGGTTACTTTCAAATGTTAAGGCCTTAAGCTTAATTAAGCATAAATACATGAACTTAGGTTTAAAACGTTATTGGAAAGAAGCCAGATTTGCCCAGGATTTTGAACCCTAACCCTACTGCTTGGACCATGTATTAGTTATTTTAATAATCCATTCAGTGTCAAAGCAAACAATCCCTGGTTTTGTATTCCTGTAAATGTAATGTATTAGGTTAAAGATGGACAAAACAAGCCATTTATAGATGACCCATGGGCTATTTTAATTGATGTACAGATTTATTTATAATGAAATAAACTTAGCTGTGTCCTAGAATCCACTTTTCTGAGGCTGTGTTGAAAATGTAAGCATCAAAACATTTCACATTTCTGTGGAAATCTATTCCTCATTTCCATGCTGCCTTTCGTGCTCTGATCCTCCGTGTGTCCCCACGCTGAGAAGGAAGCTGTTCTGGAGGCACTGGCTTGGTGTTAATGTGCCGACTGTGATGAGCTGACATTTGCCGTTGACAGCTTTGTTCTGCATGAGTGTGCTGTGTCTGCTCACATCACACTACGGACAAACTTGCAATGATTTCTGGTAATGCACCTCCCCCCCTCAGGCATCACAAAGCTGTTTCCTCTCTGAAGTAGGCTAAACTTGGCGTACAAATAGAGGAGAAAATTGCTGGGATAGAAAAAGCCTGCTATTGCTGCTGAAAGCTGCTCCTGTTTCTGCCCATTTATGGTTTTACTTTGGCATATCCCATCTTCAGCTTTGAGGTTTACGGGCTGGCTACTCTCCCTGGCCAGGTCCATCGATCTTTCCTCTAAGTCCGGTTTTACATCACTTCTTTCTTTTGTTACTCAAGCATCTACTCTTTTTTCTTCAACCTCTTATAAGCCTCCTTAAATGTCCTCTTAGGCTGTTTAAAGGTTAAAATCCTGCTCTGTTTGACAGCTTCACATATCATCTGTATCTGTTTGTTCGACGATGGTTGAATATTTAACAGCCAGATAAAAACATAGAGTATTTCAAAATGACATCATCATTTATCAACATTCCCCCGTCTACACAACTAAACCCACGGGAAGTGGTTTCCCCAGTCTGCTGTGGGAGGAGTTTACTGGCCCTTTGGGATGAATCAGATTGTTCTTTGATTGGTTGAAATATTTGCCGTTTACATGCGTGTTTGTTTACATAAGGATGTGACCAGAATTTTAACCAGGAGTGCTGTGAGGGGCGGGGCTCACACACAGCCCATGACACAGCCAGGTCAGGACACTCCGCGTGCAGCAGTGTAGCAGCAAAATGAATAATATAGAGACAAGCAGGAGACAACGTGTGACTTAGTTGAGGGGAATTTGAAGTTAAATGGAAGTGGTTGCGAAACCTAATTCCAAATCTCCGGTGTGGGAATATTTTGGATTTAAGCCAAATCAACGAGGCGAACCTACGGACTTGAATGAGCCGGGGGGTGTGTCGCATTTGTTTTAAAAAGGTAGCAACAAAAGGTAGCAATACGACCAACCTTAAACTGCACCTGAAACACAACCTGTCCTACCCATTCCGTTTTCCCAGTTGGGAGCAAACACGGCAGCTGGAGATGGAGAGCCCCCACCTTCCCGACAGTTTACAATCAAATATGCATTTGCCCGACAATGCAAACATGTTTGTGTTCCTTGCTCGAAAACTTTGAAATACAGATTTGGATATGGCATGTTGAGGCATCTGGGTCTTTGTATGGATAGTAGACTGTACACTTGACTGTTTTTTTAAGGAGTCTTTTTTTTTAGATAGATAGATGGATAGATAGAGAGAGAGCTCTGTTTTCCAGCCTCAGTCTATTTAATTTGTTTTTTTGGTTGTGTGTGAGTTAATTATTTTTTTATAATTTAATGAATTTGTTTTATTTATTATATATAATTTATATATTTGAATATTATTTCACATGTCATTTGCAATGTTGAATGTTCAATACAAAGTTCTGTTTGAAAGGATACTTGAATTATTATTATATATTATCATTATGTCAGTGGTCTAAAATGGTCTTACAATGGTTCCGACAATATTCTCGTTTATCGCAATAATTTCCGGGATAATATATCGTCCAACAACTTAATTATCGTGACAGGCCTACCTACAACCCGGAAATAAGTTTGCATTTTACAGCTTCCGGTTCTCTCGTCTGGAAGTCCATTTTGTTTGTGGTTAGATGCCTGAAACAAGGTCTGTTGTTAACAAAGGTTACACTTTTTGTTCTACGACTTAATCGGTAATTATCGCACTGGTAAATGTCCTATCTTGTATGTGTTGCTGACAAGTGACTAAATGAGAAGACTAAACGTCACGTGACCATTAGCCACCTTTAGCTTAGCGGTGGTAACGCCGAACCATGCGACCATGATGTAGTTCGTTCATAGCATAACATTAGCTTTTTACTTCTGGCGACTGCATTTACATTTAAAAAAAATCCTAAAGTGGTGTTAGTATGTGGAGAACCTGCTGAACAAATTGTGTTAGTATCATAAAAGTGTGTTTGCCACACAGCTTATTTTCTGCTTTACTTTGAAATCTAATGGAAAAATCCCATTGCTTTCACTGCACTACTCTATAGGCTTTAAATGAACAACGTGTTGTTTGACTTTACTTCAAATGTTTCTACCAGATCCAAATGAAGATGACAATAATTTCAATTTTATGAATATAAATAGTTTTTAAAAAAAAATAAAAGTGGCATTTCACTGGTATTATGGTTCTGCTGCTAAATATCTGGTACTGTAACACCCTTATAGGACAGAAGGGCAAGAGGTCAGAACTGAAGCAATGCTTGTCAGGGTCATTCATAAGCTCATTACAGAGGACATTATAATAAATATAACTTAAGATCTCTGTAGACGTTTTCCTCTCTCCATGCACGCAACTCCAGAATAGCCTAATGTAATCATATGGGAGATGGATGACCTTAGTCTATTTCTATAAATGTTTATTTCCCTCTACAGTAAAAGCCTGCCATTGCAGATTCTCCGTGTGTGTGTTGCATGGCATATCTCATCATAGTGTAGAATGATTTATTGAAGAGGTGCAGTTCTAATCTAATCTAATCTTCATGGGTTGGCAAAGGGTCGAGAGGAGGGGGAGGGGTGGAGGGAGGGAGAAAAAAAAAGACAAAGGTCTAAAAGAATATTGACAGGCTGCACAGTGGAAAAATAGCAGCAGTGAGCAGCATGGCCCTTCCGTCACTTTGTGCCTCAAACATGGATCTGACACAGCGCTGAGCTATCGAGCTCTCTGTTGCTGGACGCTGATTGCTCATGGCTGTAGCACAGACTGTTGGAATTAGAATGGGAAAGGGAGCTGAGACAGCAGCATATTGACTGGCATTGACAGTGGATTGAGAGGGAGAGGGAGGGGCTTATGATGGAGGAGGTATCGACGGATAAAGACAGCCAGAGATAGAGAGAGCCCTTTCTCCCTCTAATAGGATTATTGTGTAAATGTGGTTGTCTGAAGGACTGCCCCTAGAGCAGGGCTATTCAACTGGCGGCCCGCGGGCCAGATGCGGCCCAGGACCAACTCCCGAGTGGCCCAGCCTCCCGTAGCCAAATTCCTACACTAGTACAGACCTTGAACGCAACACTCCGCATTTCATAGAAACCACCAAACCACAACGTAGCACGTTTTTTGAAAGTGCATCTAGTGGTGCTAGTAACGGTGGTCCTATGATAGCAACTCTAAAACATGTCTCTCTCAACTCTGAAGCGTAAACAGAGACAAAACGGTCATTGATCTTGTGGAGCAGATCCAAGTCAAGCTGGACCTTTTCGCGACCGACTTGAGCACGGGTTGGATGCTGCATTTTCCGACGCTCCCCAAACACATCACATCTCCGGCACAAATCACGGACGTGATGACAGATTTCATTGCGAGGTTGAAAGAGAACTTTGCCGGTCGATTGGATGGACTTGCTCTGCCCACAGAGGTGATGATGGGCTTTGCCAGAGACCCCTTCACTGTTGCAATAGAGGGGGACGTATCAACCCGAGCAAAGGAAGTGGTCCCCTGCATCGACAAGGGGAAATATACACTGGAACTTATTGACATGCAGCGCACTAACGGGCCAGCGAAGTTTTGGAGTGATGTCAAAAAACAGCAGTTCCCTAACGTTCAGAAAGTAGCGATCTGTGTGCTCAGTATGTTTGGATCAACATACACATGTGAATCAAGCTTTTCACACATAAACTCAATCAAAAGTAGCACTCGCTGCTCCCTGACTGACAGCACTCTTCACCAATGTCTTAGGATTGCATTGACATCCTATGAGCCAAAAATCACTGCTCTNGCACTGTTTTGAAATGCCGCTCCTAAATTACCCTTATTCGATAAAGCCACGCTCGCATTGCAGATAAGACAGATGGACTTTGAATTGGAATGGATACAAAAATAATCATCCTCCCACTCGGAGTGAAAATTATATATTTTGGGCTTTTTTGCTTCTGCCATAATTGGGGTCTTGTGCGTGTGTGCGGACTGTCACTCCTGTTGACACGGACAACTTCAGTGACGGCCCGTCACATGGGGTCACGCCGGCCAATCAAAAAGCTTTGATGCGTACAAGTGCATTATTCTGGCACAGGAAGATTATGTTAGGACATTAACAATAAAACAGAATATTGTTGTTCTATTTTTAGACACATCTCGCATCTCGACCGGTATGGTATCTCCCGGCCGATCGCGATCGACTGGTTGGGCACCCCTGGTATAGGACATAGGATACATGTTATTGTTTAGCCATCAAGTACATATTTTAAATCTATTTTCCTCAATGTGCTTTGCAAAAATTGAAATTCAAGCTTCTTTCCTGTTTTTCTGCCCTTCACCAAAGACTATCGTTCTTTGTGTTTTTTGTTTAAGGTGAAGAAAAAGAACGACTGAAAAAAGAACAAAGTGAAGGTGTCTTTTAGTAAAAATGTAATATTAAATGTTTCCCTCGCTGTTGACCTTAGCTGTGTGTGAAAAGTCTTACATGGAAGTTGGAGATGTGCTCTCTGTCCAGAGGCTTGGTGACAGACAGCTCGCCTGAGATTGGGCTGATGATGAAGATGCCGGTCGGAGGCTGGTCGGCCCCGGGGCCCGTCACACTGTAACGCAGCATCCTGTTGTTATCTCTGTCTGAGCGAATCTGAAACACAGGCAAACAGGGGAAGAGCAGGGGAGGATTTACAATTAATTTCCAACACAGGATGGAGTTGGAACAAGTAATAGTTAGTAATAGATAGTACAGTCATTTTAAAAGTCCCTGCTTTGACTGCTGTCAGAGTTGTGTGGGAGACTTTTCCTCCCAGTTAGAATGACTGCCTGTTTAATGGTAAGAATACAAATATACACGAGTGAAACTAAACTTTATGATTGTGGCCTGGATGTGTCTCATATGTCGGTATGATTTTAGGATTGTAAAAGCAACACTCAGCCAATGCTTGAGGCTGCTGCATCGTAACTACAGAAAATCTGATTGGAACTGAAGTCAAAGTAAACTATGATGCGTGGTGCACCATTTATATCCTGCTCGCTGTCCATATGATCAGAACCAAGAAGAGGAAGGCAGCTCTGCAAAGACAACGCTCAGCATAAACTCAAGCATGTTTACAAAACACAAAAATACAGGTTTTACTGCAACGCCATTTCATCCACGAAAAAATCAGCAATGTTATTTGTACTATTATATAGAAATGGATGGGGAAGAATATATTATGTTGACATATTCCTCAACATACTACTGTACTCATAGTAACAGGATCACTCACAAATTAGTCCCATGAGCTTATCAGCACTTGTGACATGTAAAGGATAGGCTATAAGTGTTAAGTCAAATGTGCCATGAAATCTCATGCAATAAAAAAATCTATTGAAATCTATAATTAGTATTTTCATAACAAATCAATCTGACACTGACAACACTTAATCTTAATGGAGTGTTAGCCTTAGCTTGAGCTAGCTTTTAGCCGTAGACCCCAAAATAAAGCGTTTGCAGCTGAGACTGCTTCAAAGGAGATAGTACAACTGATGTGAGTAAGTTTACTTCGCTTTTGTTGAAGTGTATTGAACATAATGTAAACTGAGGAGTCTGATCTATTTGGGCACCCTTTTAACTTAGAAGTTAACCATGACTCAACATCAGAGACCATTGTTGTATATGTCACTCCCTCATTTACAGCCATCTCTCTCTGTCTCTGATGAAGGCTTAAAAATGGCCCAAAACTTTACTAACTAGCTTTAGGAGCTTTCAGCAGAATCTTAAGTTCCAGACTGCGGTCAGGTGATGACACCTGAGCCAGCTCTATTCGCCAAATAAACGCTGTGACATGCAGTCAAAATCTTGGACAGCTGGTTGCATATTTTGTTACATATGCCGCTCGCCTAGGACCACAATGAGATTCCTTTCTCAAATATCACAAAGGTATTTCATGTGTAATGTATCAGTCCCAACTACATGGCTGGAAGCAAGTAAGAGAAGAAAGAAAACATGTCTGGTGCTGATGTCGCTTTCACAAAGAAAGGTCTGAGAATCGAGATGCTTGTCTGGGTCAGGGCTTGCTTGTGTTATATTCGACCTAAAGATACAACATCAGGTATTTGTACAGCTTTTATATACTATATAACTTAAGAATTAAGCTAATTTAATTTAATATTAACATAATTTAAAAGGAATCCTCCAGGGCTCAATTATGGGTCCTCTGCTTTATCTTCGTAATTTCCCCCAAAAAGTATTATTATTAATTAATTAATCATAATTCCATCTCATTGAAGCCAGAATTGAATGCATTAACAGCATAAAAAGCAGAGCAAAATTATCAAATATATGTTGTTAATCGTCCATAAGGTGCATGTAAAGCAGCTAATAATGATCTTACTTTGTAGGCCTTATAATGAATCTAAATGAAGAGGCTTTAGTCCCAGCTGGATGAAAGTTAGTCTATGCTTTTATCTCCAGTTGCTTATTGCATTGTCTTCTCTACTGTGCCTTGCATTGTTCCATAGCACATCCCTGAAGTCAGACTTTGAAGGTCATCAGGCACGGGCCTTTTGTGTTGCACGGGTTAAATGCAAAGTTGGTGAAGCTTATTTTTGTTTCTATGCTCCTAGCTGCTGAAATATTGTCAGTCCAGCTTAGGTCCGCCTCGCTGTTAACATTCAAAAACAGACTAACAACATCCCTTGGTTACCGTGCATTTAATTAGCTGTATATCGTTGCGGTTGTCTATTTATATTGCATTTGAATGTTTAACTACAGGTTTATGTATCTCTGTGTTTAATGTTGTCTGCTTGTTTGTTAACCTCATAGTATTTCCTTTAATATGAATGTGCTATGTAACTGTTGTTTTCTTGTTTCCTTGCTACAGGACTCGTCAGTGAAGAGTCCTCACTGCTACGGTTAGACAGGCCTTCTTCTTTGTGTGTGCAAGTGTGTGTGTGTGTGTGTGTGTGTGTGTGTGTGTGTGTGTGTGTGTGTGTGTGTGTGTGTGTGTGTGTGTGTGTGTGTGTGTGTGTGTGTGTGTGTGTGTGTGTACGCGTATGTCTTACTCTGACGAGGTCCTCAGGGAACTGTCCTCGTGAGTTTTCGGCGACGTTGATAGGCGGAATGACCCAGTCCCTCTTTACCCGCCTCAGAGTGCCATCACCCCTGACAACCATGCTGCGCCATGGAAACAAGATCTCTGGTACCCGCTGAGTCAGTGTTACATCATCAAGCTTTACCTGCAGAGACAGTAAACAAGTGTTGTGTACTTGGCTGCACACACACACATACATACACACACATACACACACAGCTGAGCTTCAGGGGAGGCTTGGTGACTCAGGGTATTTCTGACCTCGTTCCAGTAGCTTGGATTAATGCTCTCATTATAGTTTGTCTGATAAACGACCACCACCTTCCAGTGTCTGTGCACGTGTGCGTGTGTGTGTGTTTGGGTGTGTTTGTGTGTGTGTGTAGCTACACTGCAGGATCTACAGTGGATAATAAGTCAAAGAAAAGCTTCTCATTGGCCCCACCGCCCAAAGATTACCTGCTGCTTATGCATTACATTGTAAAACCTACAAACAAAAGAAGATTAAAAAAAATGTTATTACGTAAGAGCGAGGTTATCAAGTAATTTACCAACTCCAACAAAAAAACAAAACAAGAGAAGTAGAGAAGAAACAGTGCAGTTCAAAGAGTAAAGGAGTTTATATTTCTTTGTGATTGAATTATATTCATTATAGTTTCATCTACAGTTAACAAGAATGATCGGACTAGGAACTGCGTGAGAATAGAAGAGTAGGTTATTAATGACAGTCTTGTCTCAAAGTAAGTGATTTGATCTGCATCTTCAGTTTGATCTGTCACATTCAGTGTTCCTTACAGTGACTCTGTTTTAGTTTGGAGCTTCTGGGTAAATCATTGCAATTCTTTCAAATGATAATGTTCTTTCTGATTTTCGTTGGGCTAGAGTCAAAGTAATGCAACACTATTTCAAATGAAAAGCCTTCCAGGAAAGTGGAAGACGTTGGAAGACTTTACAAAGAGAATATCATAACAGTAATTGAAAAATGGCAAAGTCCTACAGTATATGCTGAATGAAAACAATAACTCCGGTAAATGGAGAAAGAGCAGGAAAACAAGTAGAATGTGACTATTTTTGTAATAATACTTCACCCTATCAAAAGGGGAATAAGAGGCAAAGGCCGTTGGATTACGTTTATAATAAAAGCATTTTTCCACTGCAGTTGAAGTTAATACATATTGGGGAATTACATATTTGAGAACAAAGAAATTAGATGTAGAGGACGGAGACGTAAAACTTGATATAACTAAGATGTTGTATTCTGATTTAATCTGTCAGGCATATACTAAATTGACTGCCATGGCTGCTCTCTGTGAGTTCTCCTCATGAAGGATTGTTGACAGCTGATTCTCTTCCTCCCTGATAGCAGCTAAAGCGTATGGCAGCCGGCTATTTCTGGGCTTTGTTTAGAAGAACAGCCAATCAAGGCCAGTGTCTGGTCTAAATACATGCAGAGGGCCTTATTATCACTGTGGTACATGAAACAAACCAACAGATGGCTGTTTGACTCACTTTGTCTCTGCAATCAGCACTTGGCCAAACTTGGACGCCTGCTGAGCTGGAGCGCTGCTTTTATATGTGTACACTTCAATCAACATTACTGAGGCCCATAGCACTCATTGTGCTTCACACATCCCCACACTGTGATTCAGGTACCATGTATTAATGATTAGATCTGTATGTGCTGTATATTCACTGAGACACAGTGAGAGAGGAGAACAAGCATTTGATGAGCAGTGTTCTCCATTGAATATGATACTGTGTATTGATAGCTGCAAGCTTCATGAATGACCAAATAAGTTTGTATGGGTTACATCCAACGTCAAGATACATCATCAGGTATTTCTACATCTATTAAGAACTTTTTATACACTGCAGGGACTTATATCTTATATTACTTGGACCAGAATATATGTTGCAAAATTATATCGTTAAATATTCCTGTCCCGTTGAAGCCTGCATTGAGTGCATTAACAGCATAATTTAGTGACCAGAATGTAGGCCTAAAAGAAAGTTTGGACACCCCTGATCTAAAGAAAAAATAGGCTTTTTTTTAATAACTTGATGAAAAATTATTAATGCTTTTATCTCCAGTTGCTTATTGCACTGTACTCTCCACTTGGCCTCGCTTTGCTCCATAGTACATCTCCCTGAAAGGCTTGTCAGACTTTGAAAATCATCTGGTAAGGACCTTTTGTGTTGCAAAGGTTAAATGCAAAGTTGGTGAAGCTTCTTTTGGTTGATATGCACCCAGCTGCTGGAATATTGTGTAAGACTGAATAAGGTCTGCCTCATGGTTAAATGTATAAGCAGACAAACAGCACTTTTAGGAGAAGAAACTATTTGTTTAGCAAACAGTTAAGTTGGACACATGTATCATGTTGGATGGTTACAGGGTATATGCAGGAATCCTGAAGTCAAATTTTTAAGACCCTTTCCATACATTTTAAGACCTCATCGCAACTTTGAGTTCTAACCGGTTACATTGGCAACACACTTTACCTCACATTTACTATATTGATTGTAAGATAGCAAAACTAAACAGAGTGCAGACAGACTACTGAAGCCTCCTCTCCACATGAACTTCAACCTCTCTGTGAAGGTCCGGTTTAATGCAGTATGCTGCTTTGTTGCTTCTGTACTCTGTGCTCTTTCATTCCAGTAAAACTCCTCAGAAAACATTAGAAACCAGTATTTGACCAATAAACAAAACAATTGACAAAACTTTGAACTATGAAATATGTTAAACTTTGGTGAGCTTCAGTGGGGTAATGCCATATAGGAGCTCCCTCACAAATACCCAGGGGTTAAATTGGGCTGGGGCTGTCCGGGGCTAAGCCCTGGCACATAAGACGATGCTCTGACGTCATCACCCTCACACATTTGTCATATGTTTACAAAAAAGGATATATATGTTAAGACTTTTCTCGTTCTTAATATAGACTATATTTAGGGTCTATATGTGTTGACTTTACTTTAAAATAGCAGATCTCTGTGACCGGATATAGTTTGGCTTAGACCCCGGCCCCACACGGTAAAACGCATGCGCAAAAAAGGCTTCCGTTCACACGCATTCGATTCATTAACGTGTCCGTTCACACTAGACCGCTGCAAATGCTGGAAACGATGNGCTGTACTATACGGTCTGTTTCTTTATTGTGTTAAGTGAGAAGTAAAGCTGCTTGCATTGTTATGGATCTAAAGGTAGCTAAAGCTAACTTTCACAGCACAGCTTTACTTCTCACTTAACACAATAAAGAAACAGACCGTATAGTACAGCACAAATGATCAATACTTGCATATATTTTCACTTGCAGTATTATAATAATTGAAATGCTGGTTCTTCTGGGGTTGTTCTATGGTTCTATCTCAGCTACCGCACCGCAGCTGCCTGCACTGTACAATCGCTGGAGGACTGGGCTGTCACTCAAAAACTGAGTAGCCAACCCTGAAAGTCCCGCCCACCTGTGAGGTTTGTGTCAGAATCTCAAACAAAAAGTGAAGGAGCGCAAATAAGAGAGCTGCAGCGAGAGCAAAAGTCTGATCATTGAGAAAAAAGAAACAAGAACTGCAAACAAATAAACCTATGTTAAAACAAAGAAAAAATACTTATAGTTTACATGATTACACAAATGATTTGTTTGCAACTTATAGTTTTATTTTTGAAATTTATTTTATTTAGCTTGACTCAGTTTTTTTTCTTCTTTTCAACTCATAGTTTTGCTTTATTCTGAGAAAGTGTTGCTTTATCTTTATGATACGAAACTAATCCCCTAGTTGTAGAACCACTAAAAAAAGTGATTGGTGGATGCTCTACCCAGGGCCCTATAGACTCCTACATCACTGAAGCAAGATAGGTTCAAGTCAAGTCTTGCAAGCCAAGTTTTGCTTGCCGACTTAGTGTATCCTTTTTGTACTACTGCGACATATAAAGTATAAAAACTCAAAAAGATACATACAATGAGAAAAGAGTTTCCTAGAGTTAGATACATTGCTCTCTTGATTTAATAACTCCATCTTGGATCATTCAAAGTAGGCTTGATTTGAATAGGAAAATCACTGTTTTAAATCCGGCCCTAATGTGAATTGCGTGCTATTTTATTGCCTGGTATAAATAAAACAGACTTCCTTGTGTTAACAATATAATAACAATATATTTGAAACCACTATGTGCAGAATGAGTGTAGGGGTTCCAAAGGCAGGAGGCGAAGATGGAAAAATTATCTTGTTTTCATGAGAGAAGATGACAAACAAATGAAGAGAAAACTATTTCCGATTCCGTCTTTACCCGAGACGAACATCCGAGTTTTCCCCTTTCAACAAATTTGATCAAGTTCCGTCATTTACTGCTGTCTGACAAATTCCCACTGTGGATTATTCATCTGCCTGTAGTTATGTTAGCCATCTTCTGACGCCGGAGAAGATTGAATTCCGGATCCCGCGATTGCCTCTTCTTTTTTTTAACTTCTGTACTACGGATCGAGAAAAGTCACCGAGGTCAAACCCAGAAATTAAAGTTCCAAAGCAGGAGATTCAATATAATGTTGTTCCGTTCGCTCTGTCATAGTCATATTTCATTTAAATCATTCACACACATCCTGATTCATTATATCTTGTCTCCTGCAGTCATGTTTCAGACAAATGTTCCTTCTGTAATAGTGCAGCTGGCCTACTTATGGCCTGATTGAAACCTAATGAAATCTTTTAATGAGCAGTCTCTCTGTGACAGCCTCTGGAGGGCCGAGCTGAATGTGTGTCTGTTCGGGCACGCTGCAACAAATGTTATTCGTGCAGCTGAGAGCGTAGTGCCCTGTGTGTGTGTGTGTGTGTGTGTGTGTGTGTGTGTGTGTGTGTGTGTGTGTGTGTGTGTGTGTGTGTGTGTGTGTGTGTGTGTGCATCCAGTGTCTTCACAATAGAAAAACACACATTTCTGTCACCGAGACCTAGGAGGGTTTCCGGGAAAAGATAACACACCCAAGAAAGTATTAGCTCATCTTTAAGTGAACCCCAGAATAATTAAAATGTGCTTTTATTCCCGTAATTGTAATTATATTGAAAATCATGGGTGATCTCCAGGATTGAAGCTGTCGATTGTGAGAATTAAATTGACTTGGTTTGGACTGTTACACAGAATAGTTGAAAGACAAACAGAT